CGCTACTCCTCAACACTGTGCTCGAGATATCAGCCAACTCGAAGCATGGGCCACAGACCTGAGCCAAGAACTCTTTGTTCCTGGTCCCTGACAAGAGCAAGCTCAGAAATAAGGCTGTCCTGAAATGTTAACCGGCTAGAGTACTATTACGACGGTTGAATCTAATAATCTAATAAGGGAATTAAAAGAGCCATTAGGCCATGAAAAGACATGGAGGAAACTTAATAGCAGTGAGAGACGTGAAAGAAGCCAATCTGAAGAGGCCTCATCCTGTGTGACTCTAACTATATTGGACATTTTGGAAAAGGCGAAAAACTATGGAGGCAGTGAAAGGATTAGTGGTTGCCAGGGGTTGCAGGGAGGGAGAGATGAGCTGGCAAAGCGCCAAGGATGTTTAGGGCAGAGGAACTATTCTGCGTAATAGTGTAATGGTAGATACACGTCATTATTCATTTGCTAAAACCCATAGAATATACAACACCAAGAGTGACCCCTCGTGTAAACTATGGACTTGGAGTGACAATGAGGTGTCAGTGTAGGGGCCTCGGTTACGAAGAATGCATCACTCTGCTGCGGGATGTTGATACTGGGGGAGCCTGTGCATGTGTGGGGGCAGGAGACACAGGAGACCCCTCTGTACTTTACACTCAATTTTGCTGTGAACCTAAAACTACTCTTAAAAATAGTTTATTTAATACAAGGCGGGGGCGGGCATTGCATTTGTTATGTATTTTTTAGATTGCTATTATTTCCTTACCCTGGTAAATCAGTGCTGTGGACTGAATGTTTATGTCCCCTCAAAATCCGTATGTTGAGCTCTGTCTCCAATGTGATGGTATTTGGATGTAGGACCTTTGGCAGATGACTGGGTTTAGATGAGGTCCTGAGGGTGAAGCTGCCATGACAGGACTGCCCTTGTAAGGTGCCCCTGTAAGATGAAGAGACCAGAGCTCTCTCTCCTCCACGTGAAGACGCAGCAAGAAGGCAGCGGTCTCCAAGCCAGGAAGGTGGCTGTTCTCACCAGGTGCTGAATCTTCCAGCTCTTTGTTCTTGGATTTCCCAGCCTCCAGAACCATGAGAAATAAATATTTCTGTTGTTTAAGGCACCCAGTCTATGGTATGCTGTTACAGCAGCCTGAGCTGACTAAGATAGTTTTTAGTCAGTTTATTATAATTTACAAACGTTTTTGCTGCGTCGGATTGGAGAGAACAGAACTGGTCCTTCATCCCAAACAGTTCAGAAGCTCTGACCTGCACCAACAGCCCCGGTCCGGGAGCTGGAAGCATAGATCTCCTGCTGCTCTGCACGTAGCTCTCTGCCTCAGTTTCCCCATCTGCAGACTGAAGGGGAGAGTGACCGGACCTCGCAAACATGGCTGTTCAGCAAATGCTAGTTCTTCTGGTAAAGTGGGGTAACCTCAGGCAGTTAGGGGCCATGGGCCCCTTCCTTACACCTCACCGTTAGGATGCTCCAAAGGAAGCAAGTCTTGGGGAAACTTCTGCCAGCCAGACAAAAACACTCACTGGCAAGTCCGCACGAAACAGCTGGTAAGCCTGGGAAAGTCCTGCTCTGCCCTCAGACACTTGGACACATGGCTTCCGTGAAAGGTCAAGGCAGAGGCAACAACACTCTGAAGGAGCAGCCTGTGTCCCGGCCCCTCCCACAACGATCTCAGGGCGTGGGGACCAGATTCCTACTCCGCACTGATGCAGAAGCAACGCTGACTGTCCAGCGCTGCTGCGAGCCAGCCGCAGACCTTCAACATCACTTCACCAGAGCAACTAATTCCGAACACCCCTCATGACAATTAATCAACCTTCTGGTGTAATTTTGATAACTATATTTGACATGCTTTGTTATCACCCCTGGACTGGACTCTTAAGGTACTCCAAATGCAACAGGGCCCTCCCCCATACATTCAGTTATGCGAACCCATAACTATCACATTATTAATGCCTACGTATTTTAAAGGATATTATGCCCAGCAAACTAACAGGGAGGTGAACTGCTAAGTTCTCTTCCAAGGCAATGACGTATAAAATATTGTATTACATATTATAATATATATTGTAATGTATAGTACATATATTTTTACTTTAATATTCCTTAAAGTCTGAGAAGCAAGACGGAAGTCAGTTGTCTGACTTCACCAATACCTTCAGATGCTGGAAACAGGTGGGACTTTCCCCAGGCTGCAGGGCCAAGTCTTCAAAGCTGAGACAGTCCCACCTCCTGCTGATGGTGACACCCTCCTGTTCCCATCCTCTCCGGTTACTGCTGGGGTCTCCTCAGGGTGGCTGGGACCATCTCTGGGGCTGGTCCCCCTAGGCTAGAAGCAGACACCGTCCACACCTGCAGCCCCATCTGCCTTCCCTGAGCCTTCAGGGTAGACAGTGAGGTCTGCAGTGATAGCTGGAGGCGAGTGGTGAGGACGTCAGAAGGAAGACGAAACAGGATGCCCCTCCCAAGGTGGGAAACAACATAAACCTAGAGATGTGAGAAAGGCCAGCCACGGCTGAGAGGGGTAAGGCGGTCCTGCTCTCCCTGAAGGACCATGAAGCAGCAGCAAATTGGTGGCTGAGAGCCCCTGGGCCTCACCTGGAGACACTAGGCTGGGAAAAATAAACAGGAGTAAAGAGGAGAGCAGCCAGCTGGGGCAGCGCGGGCCGTTTATGCAGACAGCGAACCGGCGGAGGCGAGAGGCTGGCAGCACAGTGGAGGTCCCCACAGAGGGCAGGGGTTGCCCCAGGGGAAGCGGGCCAGGCCCCCGTGCGCAGCTATGCTGCTGACCGCGGGGACTTCCAGAGAAGCAGAAAGACTGCTTCCATGCTGGGGGAATTCAGTGCCTGGACACAGGTGTATGGAACAGGGAAACTGTCGTCCTAGGAAGCCCCTCTAAACCTCCTCCACAAATGCAGCTCACCCCAGGGAAGTGGGCCAGATCGCAGCCTGTTTACAGCCCCCCAAACCCCCTTCATTTCCAGATCTGTTTCCACTGCCACTTTCCACCCCAGCCCAGTGCCACTAGAGCGTCTTTACTCAGTCTCCTGACCTCACCCCAGTTCCCACTCTGGCCCGGTTTGTGGGCTTGGAGAGGAGGAGTCTGTGCTTCCACAAACCAAGCTAGAGGTCTCAGCAACCACTTGCTTATAGAGACACGAAATGGCAAACTACTATCTGGCAAATCGAGGGATGGAGTGCTTTCTGGAGACAGGTGGCCTGGGCAAGAATGGCATCTCTAGCACTTAACATCTGAGTGATCTTGGGCAAGTTACCGAACCTCATTTTCCTCATCTGTAAAATGCGGACAGTCACAGCTTCCACCTCGTACGTGGCTGTGAGGGCGACATGAAGGTGTATGCTGCCAGCATAGCACCTGGAGCCCAGGCGGTGCCGGCAAGGACCGCCGCCGGCCTCTGAGCACATAGCCTCTCTGCTGCTCCTCACCTCCACTTCATCCCAGATCCTGTCCTAAACCAAAGTCCACGTGGAACAGTGATCACCTGAAATGTAACTAAGCCTGCACTCTTCCATTGCAGACTCTTCCATCATATCTCATTATTAGCATAAAACCCAGCCTGAGGCTCCTCCCACCTCTCCCCTCACCCTGGGCTGCGGTCACTGTGGTCTCTAGTGCTGGGTGCCCTTGCACTTACTGTTCCCTCTGCCTGGAACACCCTATCCTGACCCTCAAAATCCAGTCCAGCTTAAATGCCACTTCCTGAAAGAAGCCTTCTCTGATGGCCTCCATCCTTTTTAGCACTAATCCTCAATCCGTAATCACTTTACTGATTTACTGCTCATGGGCCAAGGGAAGGCAGCTTTGGGAAGCCAAGTGCTGGCTGAACGGATGAAGGATGCACTGTTATCCGTGGGGCTTGGGTGCTTTGGAGATTAAGCTGATTTGGTGGCCTGCTCAGATCTGACCACCTGACTGCCACCAATCCAAATTCCAAGCCCTTCGGAAGGTAAAGCCTGGCCACCTCCACATAAACAAATGTTGCACAGGGAGCCCGGAGATCCAAGGTAAACATATTTATTCTCAATTCTGCCTCAGCCATCTCTAGTTTTGCAAGCATGAATAAATGGAATCAACAAGAATTCTCTCCCTAAATGTCTTTCATTGAAATCTGTCACGGAACACGTTTTCTGTTTTTCCTAAAGAGAGTGGGATTTGAAAGTGACCTAACAGGAGGCTTGACTGCAGAATACTGGCATTACTCATCCTGCTTCCGGGCTTCTCTCTCATTTGGCAGCACAGGCTGCAGGCAGCTATAAATAGCAGCCCTGCAGACCTGCCTTCCAGAGAAGGGGCCCGCTCATGAGGAGGAGGGCCG